TGCAGGCTTTGACCTTCGGCTTGGACCTTGCGGCGTTTGTCATGCAGGTGGCCGCTCGGCGTGTTGGGCGACGCGGTGGGGCATGTTGGCGTTGCCTTCAGTGTTAGATACCCCCATGGTTTCGGTTTTCGGCTGCTGGGGTCCGATTGATATGCACACATGGATCCAAACTTTCATTCGCATTAACCTCGGCCTTCTCAGTGCCGTGCGGCGTCCGCACTTTGGGGGAGTTTGGAAGTTGCGTTCGAGCGTGCTTTTGCGCGCCGGGCGACCTCAGGAACAGAGCTTGGAAGCCGTCACCTTGCTGAACCTCTGTCTGATTCGATCATCATGTGGCTCAGTCACAACATATTGAAATGATCAGCTCCATCTCAAAACAGAGAACTTCCATTTTTCACTCAATAGTCGAAGAGGAACCGCAGTGTCACAAGTGATGTGTAGAAAATGCAAAAACACACTCATTTCCTTTAACCTCTTGCATAGTGTCCCATAGGTACCGTCAATGCGTGCGCTACTTGTGGAATCAGTTTTCGTGGCACGCACAGGGGACCTCTTTGCGTGGCATGCGCAGCATTTGGTGAACCTCTGATTCGATTTTTCGGGGCAGGCGCAGCGTTTGTTAAACTTCTAGCTCCACTTTTCGCGGCAGGTGCAGCATTTGGTGAACCTCTGTTTCCATTTTTTGCGGCAAGCGCAGCATTTGGTAAGCTTCTAGTTCCACTTTTCGTGGCAGGCGCAGCATTTGTTGAACCTCTGATTCGATTTTTCGGGGCAGGCGCAGCGTTTGGTAAACTTTAGTTCCACTTTTCGTGGCAGGCGCAGCTTTTGGTGAACCTCTGTTGCCATTTGTCGTGGCAGGCGCAGCATTTAGTGAACTTCTTGTTCCATTTTTCGTGGCAAGCACAGCATTTCTTAAACTTCTAGTTCGATTTTTGGTGGCAGGCGCAGCGTTTGGTGAAAACCTGCTTTCATGTTTCGTGGCCGGCGCACGGAATTTGAAGCTCCAGGTGGCCCAACGTGTGGCCAGACGCTGAATCGTAACGTTGGAATCCAACGTTATGCTCGTTTTACGTGGCAGGCGTGGGACAAAAGTCGAAATCGTAACGTTGGACGCGTTTGAAAAAGATTATAGTAATTCTCTTTTTTGAACCGAGTCCAACGTTATGATTTGCACTTTTTTGTGAAACTGTCGCCGAAAACGGATCGTAACGTTGGATTCCAACGTTATGATTTGCGTTTTCGTGTGGGGAGTACTCCGATTTTGGCCGCGCTGGCTGTGCTGAAAGTGGAGATTTCGTGGCAGGCGCAGCGCTTTGTGAACCTCGAGGTGCCGATGTCGTGGCAGGCGCAGGGCTTTGTGAACCTCCAGGTGCAGATTTCGTGGCAGGCGCAGCGCTTTCTGAACGTCCAAGTGGAGATTTCGTGGCAGGCGCAGCGCTTTGTGCACCTGAAAGTGCAGATTTCGTGGCAGGCGCAGCGCTTTGTACACCTCGAAGTGCAGATTTCATGGCAGGCACAGCATTTTGGGAACCTCGAAGTTCGAAGTGGAGATTTCGTGAACCTGAAAGTGCAGATTTCACAGGAGGGGCAGCATTTTGAGAACCTCGAAGTGCAGAGTTCGTGGCAGTCGCAGCACTTTGTCAACCTCTAAGTGCAGATTTCGTAGGAGGGGCAGCGTCTTGTGAACCTCGAAGTGCAGATTTCATGGCAGGCGCAGCACTTTATGAACCTCGAAGTGCAGGTTTTGTGGCAGGCGCAGCGTTTGGTGAACCTTTGCTTTCATTTTTCGTGGAAGGCGCAAGCTTTGGCGCACTTTTAGTTTACTCAAACTGTGGTTCCTGCCAAACAAAACGCACCAAGTTTAGGACTCTATGATGGTAGTTGTATATAATGCACGCAACTGTAAATCATCACTAATCATGTCCAAGGCCATGGCCACGTCGAAGTCCTCCGGATCCGCTTCGCCCGCTTCGTCCTCTTCGTCCTCTTCATCAAGCCATGAGGAGGAAAAACCATCTGTGACTTTGGGCAACAGCGACACTTCCACAGAGGCTGAGAATGCACCAGCTAAAGCGAGGGCATATGCTGGTATGTTTACTTGGCCATGTCCGCGGCATTTTTTCCAAGACTTGGAAGATCGACAAGCAGCAAAGGTCCTTAAGCCTTGTGATGTTTCCAAGGAGAAACTGTTGGAGGCCTTCACAAAAGCGCTGAAGAGCAAAGGTTACTTGCACAATCTTGTGAAGGCTGCCGTGGCGGATGAACCGCACAAGCATTACCAGCCCGATGGTGCTACTCGGGAAAGACACAAACACCTCATCTTTCTGTTTCGAGCTCCGTTTGTGCACGCTGGCGTTCGCAAGCTGTTGGCCGAAGAGTTTGAGTACCATGGATTCTTCACATTTCATCGCGCGGGCTGGTGCGCCTATCTGGATTACCTGATGATGGAGAGCGCAAAGAAACCAGCGCATGATTTAGACCGTGACCTTGTGTTTTATCCGTCAAGTTACACCAAGCAGAAAGCTGATGGCGAGCTTGCAGGGATGTCCTCGCAGGTGGCTGGCAGAAAGAAGAATGAGGGGCTGCAGAAAGGTCCGTCGGAGGCCTTGCAGAAACGACGCCGGCGCATGTCTTTTAGCGAGCTTACAGACTTTGTTGTCGAAAGGAAGATTTCAACAGTGGCAGAGCTATGGAAGGCCTGGCACACATACAATCTGGAGACTGTTTTCCATCAAGCGTAATATCAGTCTTAGATAAGCATCCTCCTTGGTAGAAACAACGCGGTTGGAACGACAAGGTGCATCATAGGCAGTCCAATGTTTGGTCCAATCACTTCGTTGGGGATGCCGCGGGTTTTGTGGTCATGCCCAAAGTGCTTTGTTTATAATTCCCTCTCATCGCCAGGCCGCCAAAGAGGAAAAGATGCGTGGCAACTCTTTGGTTTGGGACCATGTGGGGCAGCTTCGGGATCCAGCTGCGGAAGTGCAGAAAATCTTGGCTGCGTGGCACCGACCTGAAACCTTGGGGGCTTCAACTCTTATCACCTCACCACGCTTTCCTTTGGAGCACTTTGATGTACCTCCACGGGTCCTGCAGTGGAAGGAGACCCAATCCCTCACCCATACCTTAATCCTGCGTGGTCCGGGAAGACTGAAATGGCTATATCCGTGCTTTTGTCCACATGCCGCGCTGGCATCCACTTTGTCAGCAAGCTTGATCAGATGCATAAGATCACCGTGCACCCAGGTGAGGGACTTGTTGTCGATGAGGCTTGTTTCAGGACAGTGAGCATTGATGATGCGAAAGCTTGGTGCGATGTGACTCACGCACGCGATGTGCACAACCGTTGCTCTGACGGACACATTCCAGCGCAAACGCCAAGGATCTTCACTACAAACCATGAAGTCCCACAGTTTTGGCCCCCAGAGTATTTTCATTCCAGTCATCAGGCTGCAATTGATCGGAGAACTGTTTGGGTTGACTGCCCAAACAAGCTGTTCAAGGACAGGGAAGCAACGTGCAAGGGTAACAACGTAACGTTACGAAGC